GTGTGTCTGTGTGAGTGTGTGTCTGTGTGTGTGTGTGTGTGTGTGTGAGTGAAGATTGAGACTCATAACAGTAGGACTGAGTTCATGTTCAAACTAAAGTGAATGTCAGTCGCAGGAGATATTTGAGCATTTGTGAGGAAGAAAAGCAAATCGTTTGAGTTTATTTCTTCTGTGGAACACAAACAAAGCTCTTCATAACGATATGCTCTCAATCTGTATGTTAACCCTTGTGCATCATTTTAAAAAAGCTACACAGACGTCCTTACAGGACAACAATGCCCTTGTTAAAAAAGATCATAAAAATATTATATATTCATGTTTTTTTTTGTTTTTTTTTACTTTCACTGACAGATCTTTTTACTAACATGAGTCCTGATTATAACTTCCACTACTTTTTGAACAATACATAAATAAATAAAAATCAATAGTTTTTTTCTATATACTAATGCTAAGTAGATTTTGGGGGGATTATTACAGTATTATTTGTGCAGTGTCAGATAAAAACAAAATCCCATTCACACATACAAACCACACTCTGATATCTATACAAACACAATTATCATTGCATGTCTTGAATTCAATTGGCCTTTTTTCCCTAGAAATGTCAGGAAAATGGTCAGAAAACAGGGATAAAGTGAGTATTTGCTCCCTAGGCCATACAGTAAAAGTTTTAAAACCATAAAATATTTAAAGCCTTGCCAATAGAATGACAGCTTATTAATAAAGAATGCATGATTGGATGCTTAAATGGCACTGGGATTAAATATTGCATGGGTTTCAATAGGGACATTTTTGTCTTTAAGGTCCTGAGTGAAGCTATTTTTTGTGAAATAAATTTATGAAATGAAACGAGGGTGAAATATTAACATTCCAATAAAAATAAAAATTTTTGGCCAATTTTATGCTGTTTGCATTAACAGCCAAAACGATCAAAACAAACACAAATGTTGGACAAGGACGCACAAGGGTTAAAGTCCTGAAGAAAGGAAAGTAGCGACAGACTTTTCTTCCGTATTGTGACACACATCACAGTGTAGCAAATTATTGAAAAAGAATAATTGTACGGCGGGGTTTGGTTCAGTGCAGCAGTTGTTGATTGGATGTTGAGATGTGGGCGTGGCTCTCAAAAGTGCTTGCAGGGGTGGAGCTTAAGAGCACTTAATGATTGGAGAAGACCTGCTTACGTCAACAGAGAGAAGATCGAGTTATGACACTCTAATTAAACATTACGACCTCAAAAAATTAAACATGCATGGATGAATTGTTCACAATAACGTGCATTTAAAAACAGATGACATGCCAACTGTGTTCCACAGAAGAAAGAATGACATGAGGGCGAGTAAATCATGGTGGAGTTGATATTTTCATGTGAATATAATGTAAAGATGAACTACAGGATGGATGTAGAATTTGGCTGATCTGATCTGATGTATATTTTGTAGGTGGGTTTGTTTGCAGTGATTGTGAAAGAGCGGGCCTTATTCAGGCCTCTCTGGCACGTCAACAGTGATTCTGCGGCCGCTCACATAAACACTTCTTCAGCACAATAATGAGCTCCAGCTGGAGCAGAACATCCCGCGCTCGCTGCAGGGAATGAAAGCATTCAGACCGCTGAAGCTCACAGACTCAGAAGAGGGGATGTGGAACAGAGAGCCATTGATAAAGCTAACGGATGGACGGAGGAATTCTGGGAGTTTGCATAGTTTGAGGGGCGTTTACAAAACTTTTTATGCGTTTCGGCCGTTCATTTACATAACAAGCCTGAAAATGCACATTTTTGAAAACGGGTTTCAAAGTGCAAGTTTTTGGAAATTATACTGTCAACGTCTCAGTCTAAACTACAAAAACATGAATTTGAGAAAATAGTGACATCATGTGCATGTGTAACGGAGGCCAGCGGTAGGTGCTGTGCAGGTAAACCTCACTCCCCTGATCTCAAGAGACGCACTAGCGACTGACGCTAGTGGCTGCAGTCTTTAGCCTCCTTGTTAGTGCGTCCGCCTCCCATGCCGGAGACCCGGGTTCGAGACCCTCTCGGAACGAGAACGAGGTGTGGCGGAGAGGACCCGGGACAGAGGGGTTACATTGGTGCCGTGACCCGGATGGGAGTGAGGATTAGGGGGGTGAGTGTAACGGAGGCCAGCGGTAGGTGCTGTGCAGGTAAACCTCACTCCCCTGATCTCAAGAGACGCACTAGCGACTGACGCTAGTGGCTGCAGTCTTTAGCCTCCTTGTTAGTGCATCCGCCTCCCATGCCGGAGACCCGGGTTCGAGACTCACTCGGAGCGAGAACGAGGTGTGGCGGAGAGGACCCGGGAGAGAGGGGTTACACATGCATATTATGTGATACGTGTTTCTTTACAAGGTGACATCGCCACCTACTGGTCTGACATAAACACTACAATGTTTTTAGTCGTTTTCGCGGATCTGTGTGAACGAGGATCGTTTTGACAAACGTAGTCTGTAAACAAAATTTTTCAAAAATGCAAACTAATTTTTTTTCTGAGTTTAGTATGTCGTTGTTGAGTAAACGTACTCTGAGTCTCTTCAAATGACCAGTGTTATTTTAGTATTGATATACTATTACAGATTTTGTTAATATTTTGAATCAAATTTTATTTTTATATTTTCTGTTTTCATTTTAATTTTCGTTATTGTTTTGGTAAATTTGTTGTGTGTGTGTGTTTTGTTTTTATTATTTATTTTAGTACTCCAACTTAAACTAAGTGAAAATGA